TCCTGCCATCATTGATCCTTCTCCTGCTGTGGAAACCTTCATGGATCCTGTTAATTTGGCTCATGTTCATCTCAAGGAATTGCTTGAAGCAATTTCTCACAATTCTCCTCCAACCGACAACAGTCCTGAGAGTCTTGCTGAGAATGCACTGAATCAGCTCACTTTCATACTGGCTTGTTAGCTCAGTGTCCAGGTTTCAAATGTGAAGCAGAAGCAACCAGCTGTTGCTGCCGTAGAATTCTATTCAATCAGCCAGACTTTATCAATCAGAAATCTGCACTTCAGGAACTTGTTGAAAGCCGTGGTCATATTTGTGACTTCTATCCTAAATACCACTGTGAACTCAATTTTATTGAAATGTACTGGGGTGCAGCAAAATTCAAGTATCGAAAGTCCCCCAGCACCAAGAATATTGAGGAAATGGAAGCAAATGTCAAAAGATGTCTGGATGAAGTCCCTCAATTGTTTATTCTTCGGATTTCCAATAGAGCAGCTCGATTTGTATCAGCTTATTATCTTGGCTGTACTGGGAAGGATTCAGGTTATCTACAGAAGACATACAAGAGCCATAGGATGCTGCCTTATAATGCAGTAACATTGATGAGACAGTCTGTACATATGTAGTTTTTTTTCTTCTATGAAATACATTTTTTGCACCAATTTATTCAATTTTTTTTCTCGGGCCCAAGATTTGGAACATCACGTCACGCCTTGTCACAGCTTATATATGGGTGCTGGGTTCACATGCTCTCCACCTTATTCTCGGTTCGGTGGGCTGGATGTCATTGACATCACCAGTGTTCAGTGTCTCATCGGTCGAGTGAAGAACCTGTTGGATGACTGGGCCATCATCGATCGGAGTGGTGGACTCGCTCGGGCTGCTTGGCAGGAGGAGGATGGGTAGTACAGTAGATTTCGAAATTTTCCTTTTTTGGACTTGAGCATTTCGGAAGATGTCTGAACCGTGGTGCTCAGCTGTTAAATGAATAAGTTTCGAGGGTATAAGAGTGATATATGCACATTTTATGAGTTGCCTGTGAGCCAAAAATGTGTGCCATGGAAGTGAATGAGGCTACTAAGTTTCTGCAGAGGACATAATCCAGCTGAGTAAGCCTCAATCCACGCTCTGTTTTGTGTTCCTTAGAGCCTTCATGGACCTCGCCATAGCAAACTATAGGCTTGAAAATTCTTTCATTAGGATGTCTTTTGTTTGCCAGTGAGTCTGGGGTCTTCTTAGGTCTCCCCTGCTCCCACCAGCGCTATCTGGGAACTCAACTTTTTTCAAGATGCTCTTTTGAACCGCGACAGCAAGTGGCCGCAATTCGTTTCCCACAGGTGGAAACAGCTCAGGTACCTAGAAACTAGTTCTAATAAAGTTGAATACATTGGCTGCTGAGTGCAGATAGACCTTCCTGGCATGGGAGATTAAGATCAACACGGTATAGGTTGAACTGATTGTAGGTTGATTCAAGCCTCCTGGGTGATCGGCTGGAAAAAAACCTTGTGTAGGTTGAATTGCATAGAGTAGAATAAACGACATAGGTTAATCTAAAACAACCTACCATCAACCGACAGTAGGTTGAAGTGGTATATTCAACCTGAGGCCTGTTGAAATTCAACCTGCTACGGCTCCATAGTGGCACTCCGTGATGATCTAATGCATTTTTATATTGATTGACGGAAAGTCCAGAGTTCAATTCTCCGTCAAGCCATTCCGACAGAAACCCTTCTTTTTCTTTCACAACGATGGTTTATTTGGCATTTTGGTCATTCAATTCATGGCTTGGTGGTGTTGTGAGGGCTGTACACGTGTTGCGTGTGCCCTCGCGCCACTGCATCCACAGGACGAGACCAATCACCCAATTTGGAAGTATCAAGAATCCGCATATGGAAACTTCCCCAACCGCGGCTCGTCTGCAGCTGCTTCCCTCACCATGACCGCGACCACATCCACACCCAGGCACCATTCGACGACGACACCCCCCTATGCAGCACAACTTGTCCGCGCCCGCGCTTTCATCTTCAGCACCCATCGGCACCCGTGCTCTCGCCCTTACGCGTCGCCACTCACGGCCTCCACCCTCGTTCCTACGGGATATCGCCACAGCCTGGGCCCCGTATCCAGGGCACAACTGTAAACCCACCCCAGAATCCAGGATACGTTCGATATTCACCCCAAAATTGGACACCTCGCGCGGTCCTCACGCGCATTCAGCCCATTTTCGGACCTCGCATTACATATTCGAGCCCTCTCTTCAACTGTAGACTCGAGCTGCGCTTGGGGACACCCTCGCCACACTTGGGGACGCACTCACAGCAGTCGGGGCATTGACTTTCTCGACCTAAATTTGGTCATACACTTCATCCTACACCTATTTCGAGTGTCCAGCTCCTCCGGGGGACCGCACTCAACCCGATTCCTACGGAACTGGGGCTGTGCAGCCAGAGGGTATAAAAGGGACATAGTTTTAGCACTGTAGGATAGCCAGTTCTGGGTATAAGTTTTCCCCCGCTCGTCTAGAGTGTACTTGTGCCAACCAATACACCAGATTTGACCACCACTTTCTTTGCAGCTTCTCTTCGAAGTCTCGCGCCACACTCACCCTCGTACCTTTCACCGCAGTACACCTCCAGCACAGGCCTCACGGCCTCAGCATTGGAAACTCGGTCGCTTGCCTCGTTCATTGGGGAAAGGCATCGTCCGCAGTTGGGGTTTACACCACCAAGACACACACACACATTCTTTCAGTGCGCTCCACGCGGGGCTTCACACGGGGTCCACTCCCACACGAAATCAACCAGTGTACCACACGAGCCTCCGCTCTAAATCAGTATTACACCTTGTAACACCCCCTAGAGGACGAACACAGCTACCCTCAGAAAGCAACTTCCTACACACGGTAGAGCCGCGGTGAAACAGTGCACCTAAGTATAGGCTGAAATGCAGTAAGGTCCTCAGATAGATGCCAACGAACAGCAACACACTAAATCACTAACACACACTACACACACAACACACAACCAATACGAAGTGCGAGATAATTGAGTTCAGGTCACCCTGCAGTATACAGGTAAGATGGAACTTCGTGGGACGGGATCAACTCAAAGAAGGATCGATAGAACCTCTAGGAGCCTACAGTAGTTTGAAAACCACTAAAAGTGCACAGCTCTGACACAAGGTATCGGAGTTTAGGTAGATGAAAGCTTGCTCTGGGAACCACAGTAGGTTCGCGAACTGTGCGCGGCTACGACCAGCCTACTAAACGGGGCTGATTCCAATAGCGGACACGACTACGACCGTTCTACTAAGGCGGGAACAATTCCAATAGCCCAACTAACGAACTACGACCGGCCTACTATGCGTGGACGATTCCAATAGAACACTAGCCTGCCTCGTGCAACTTAACAGAGGACTTTCGCGAACTCGCCGTGACCCTCCACGAGACGAGGTTGAAGTGATTGGCTTAGATGATCCTTTAAAGCTTATGGAGCCAACAAAATCAAAGCTTCTGTATTAATGAATCTACACAAGAGAAATGTTTATATCACAAATCTCCGCACAGATACAGAGGACACCAACGCCTTTGACAAGTGGCTTCGACTTCCGTCTAAGCGCAACCAAGGGGGCAAGGATGAACTGCTGTATGGCGGGTTCTACGCGGTCTTTTATAGGTTTTCGATAAATACATGACAGAGCAGTATGAATAAGAGAAAATAAGAGAAAATGAGTAAACGGAGCGATTCGGAACGGAATAGGAATAGTGACGCGGCCCTCTAGTGGTGGTTGGATAGGTACCCGGCATTGGAAAGTCATCAGTAATGACTTCGCGAACCGTTCTGGGTATATTTGAAATATTGTAGCCCAGGCCGAAGGGTTTCGCAACCCGGCCTGCTGCCTTGGTGTACACGTCCCACACCGGCATGGTTGATAATCCACCCTGTGTGTCTGCCCAGCCCTCGTAAGAGCGGTAAATCACTTGTCCGGCCGCTCGCGAATGTGAGGCCCTCCGGCTTCGGCTCAAGACTACTCCGATCGCCCATATGCTTCCGCTTTGGCAGTGTTTGGCCTTCGCGACCGTGTCGCGACCATCACATGTGGTCCCCTTGACCCAGGGTTGACTACTGCTTGAACCAACCCGTGCCAGGTATCTATAGTCAGAGGTTCGCGAACCTCAATGTCCGTTCGCGAACTTGTTCCTTTGCCCTTTCAGTCATAAGTCCACTGAGAGTGAGGTTCGCGAATATTTAACGTTCATTCGCGAACTCGTTCTGAAGCCCTTCCGCATGGAAGTGGGGTTTCGCGAACTGTTCCCTGCCCTTTGTCTGGCGCAGTACAATCCACGAAGGGTGTCAAGGCTTTTGTTATATCTCCTGGGTATGGTATCTAGCCTGCAGGGCAAGCTGCTTCCCGGATCACAAGAAACAACTCTGTCTGATGGAGTTCGCGAACACTTCACGGATCATGAAGCGGATCCCCTATGTTTACAAGGACCACGCTTCTATGTCTCCTCAGTGCACGCTATCCTTCTAGCATCATTAATACACAGTCGGCAGTTCGGAGCTCACTCCGGCTCTAATTGTATACCACCGAACAGGGTTCTTAGAATTGTGCTAAGAATCGCGAAAAAGCGTGATTACACGGGTGGTTCAAAACCAGCCGTATCAGCGGTCCTTATCACAGTGTAATGGTAACGTGCTCCGTGTATCTTGCAATGTTCGCATATTGTTTGACGGAGAGTCCAGAGTTCGATTCTCCGTCAAGCCATGGGTTGGGTCCGGATAACATTTTTAACTCGGAGTTGGTCCTTGGTGGTCATCGAGTTTGACTTCTTGAATGGCTTGGTAGCATAGTGTTAACGCGCTCCATGGATCTGCAGCATTTGCATATCGGTTGACGGAAGGTTCGGAGTTCGATTCTCCATCAAGCCATTAGTTGGGTCCAGGTAACATTTTTAACTTGGAGTTGGTCCTTGGTGGCCATTTGAGTTCGACTCTTGAATGGCTTGTTGGCGTAATGGTAACGCGTTCTGTGTTCCTATATGGAGTGTTCGCATATCGTTCAATGGAAAGTCCGGAGTTCGATTCTCCGTCAAGCCATTTTGCATTAAAAATATTTCTTTTGTTATCCGCTGCTCGGTGGCGTAGTGGCAACGCATTCCGAATTCCTACATAGGTGTTTTGTTTTTCGGGGGTACGGAGTTCGATTCTCTGCCGAGCCATGTCTGGGTAGGTTGCTTTTTAAATCGTGTCGAGCTGCAGCCACGTACTCGGAGTTCGGGGTTTTGAGGTCACGTCGGGAGCTATCACAAGGTGATGGCTCACATCGCACCTGAGCTCGCACTTCTGTTCTTCGACAACTGGTACTGTGAGAATGGACTCCCCCTTGACATCGTCTCAGATCACGACAAGCTCTTCATGTCAACTTTCTGGAAGTCCTTACACAAACTCACGGGTGCAAAGCTCAAAATGTCCACTGCCTTTCACCCCCAGACCGACGGTGTGAGTGAACGTACAAAGGCCCCTGGCATATTCGGTTATATGTCCGATCTGATTATGCTGACAGAACTGGTTGGAATTTTGGAGCACTTTTTGACCTTTTCGAAGCGGATTTGCGAGAAACGCACGAATCCGAGGTCCAAAAGCATGGGAACATTTTTTTTCATGCGTACGGAACGGGCCATTTTGGACAAATCCGGATCGGACATACAACCACATATGCCAGGGGCCTACGTACAATCAAGACTGTCAACCAGTCCCTACGTTACCACATCGGTCGGAACCAAAAGGGATGGGTCCACACTCTCCTGTGTGTCCGTTTCGACATGATGAGCTCTGTGAACGCCTCCACGGGCTTCTCAGGTTTCCAACTTCGCATGGGTCGCTCCCTTCGTGCCATGCCCCCGCTCATCATTGTGCCCTCATAGACATCTACCCCAGAGGAAAACCTGGCGGCAGAGATAATCCAGTGACTGGCCCTTGACGTCAAAGAAGCTCAGGACAACCTCCTCACGGCGAAGCTCTCCCAGGCTGAACAAGCCAACAAAAATCGCCACCCAGATCATGGCCTACAGGTTGGCGACAGAGTTAAACTTTCCACTAAGAACTGCCGCATGCACTATAAACAGAAGAAAGGTGATGGAAGAGCCGCAAAGTTCATGCCTCAACTGGACGGGCCATACAAGATCCTGGAAAAACATGCTGAGTTTTCTACCTACACCCTTGATCTCCCTGACCAGCCGCTTGTGTATCCCGTTTTCCACGCCTCTGAATTAGAACCTTACATAGAAAACGACCATGAGAAGTTCCCCTCATGCACTAACGAAGAACCGCCTCCAGTCGTCATCGACGGCGAAAACGAATGGCTTGTTGAAGAAATCATCGACAAACGAAAACGCGGACGCAGATACCAATACTATGTTTGCTTCACCAGATACGGCCCCAAAGGCAACCGCTGGCTCCCTGGTGAAACGCTGACTATATGAACACTAATGAAATCGGTCTAATATTATGGCTCAATAAACCACTATAAAATACCAACAACACCACTATGTTCGCTACAATCAGACTGCGGGTTTGGGGATTCCAACGTTAAAACGTTGTATGCAATTTGGCTTCACAATCAAAGAAATAGTTCTTTAATTAATGTTGGTTAAGCGACTATCTCAATCGTTCCAGGCGCTATATGTGGACTAGATGATTTGGAAAGTTGGGTTTTTATCACAGGGTTGTGGAATATGATTCCAAGGGCGATCAGTGAAGATCTAGGAGGTTGGTTTCCGTATAACGTTCTCAAAATATGCAACGAACAATATTACTATTGCGCGTGTACCAAATGCTCAAAGCCAGATATTTCCTTATGCCAAATGTCCAGAAACCAGATATGCCAGATGCCAGATATACAGATTTCAGATATTCAGATATTCAGACTTTGCCAGATGATCAAATATATTGTGAGACCGAAACACAAATTGTAGAAACTAAGAGCTTCCCCAATGGTATTCCGAATGAATGCTAGACTTTCCCTAGGCGTACAAGCAAGGCTTGCACTAGTAGAGGGAAAGGGTAGATTCACTGGCGTCCCACTGCTAAACTACTGCCTTTTATACAAACGAACAATCCCAAAACGGAAACAATAAATAAAGAATGAGTTTGGTACAAACAGATAAACAGAACTCAATGGGCCGCGGGTGCCGCACTATTTGGGTATCAAACTGAACCTGTTGAACGTTAGTTTATGTTCCAATAAATATTCTAGGGTATATGTGGCTGCACAACCATGCGGCCAGGGTATAGGGTTGGCTTGGCTCGCGCTGAGCCATCAGTTGCCAAGGCGAACCACTGGCTCGGCTGATTAAACCGAAACCCGCAGCCCTCCTTGCTGCAATATCTACTCCGTGATTGGCTCCTCTGTAGCCCTAACAACTCTTGAACCGGTTCATCAAGGGCCCGGGGTTCGGATGTGCATCCGAGCGTAAGCTGAGCCGGGTCATCAACAATATCACGCCTGATTGGGATCGGCTATTGTTGAGCCAGTTCCTGGCTATCAATATTGAACCCGCTCGACCGCCAAAGTTCTAGAATGACCCATAGTATATTCCCGCCCATGTGATCCTTCTGAATGGATAATATTATGTGTCCTTGTTCAGGAAACATGCCAATGCATCCCAATCTGATCGGATGGTTAGAAACGTTGTTAGCCATATTGAACTTAGATACTCCTGTAATCTGACCCGTAAGGTGGCTGTCATACAAGTCGTACCAACTCTCTTTATAGCACATGTTATATCCCTAGCTATCTGCTCGGACCTCCGCAATAGCTCTCGGAGAAACATTAATTAATGTTGTATTCAGCTTGTAACCTCGTATAACTGGCGCGAAATTGAAAGATTTCATGCTGGTTCACTTAGCCAGCTTATCACCGGACGACTTCTTGCCGGCTGCGAAGCCCTCGACGTTTGGCTCGCACGCCCGAAGGATTGAAGTGCCGGCTGGCAACCTTTCCCTTCTCCCTGCAGTTGGTAACCTTCCCCATGGTGGGCGAGCTTCAGCTCCATCGGAAACCAGGCATGCATTTTTTTTACTTACCTTCCCTGTTGTTTTGGAGAGGATACTCATTTTCTTACAGCTGTTCTCGAAATTAATGAGACGGATCACTTTTTTTCTTCTCATTCCCAAAAAGGAAGGTGTGTACAAGAACACTGATTTACATCCACCATGAGGGCAAGGGAGACTCGCCTATGCTCTGTGGTCAGGTCTGTCAAATTTCGAGCGGAAACACTTAGTGTAACACCTAGAATCGAACAAAAAGATGGGATGGCGAAACCACGTGGACACATGGCTGATCGGATCGTTTCGGCCGCTGTCAAAGTCGCGGTCGCGTTGAATGGCTTCATTGAGACCTCGGCCCTCCTCGCAACTGCTCCAGGCCAGAACCCCTGGCGTGTTTGGTCTAGGAAACAGTACTTTCCTTTTTGGGAACTCCAAAAAAAATCCAATCAGTCTCATTAATTTCGAGAACAGCTGTAAGAGGGGGAGAGTGTAACGCACGTTTACTTACATCTATTTACGGACATGGTCACATGTGACCATTCTCTCTTTGTCTCTTACCGTCACCTTCCCCCCTTCGTTTTCAATATACGCAATGTCCTGAAGTCTCTGGTCCCGTCTCTATCCCTTCTGGTCCTCTGGCTTCCTCTCTAGTGTTTCTCATCTTGAGCTTCAAGGTGAGTTTCCATCAGTGATGTTATCAGCAACATTGAAATTTCTTATTTTCCAGTGTGAATGACATGTTGCCTCTGGATATCATTCAGGTGTGAAGAACATTTTGACCTTCAATATTTAATCTCCTGCTTTAAGTAGCTTCAGCAGTGGCTGTTTGAGGTCTGGCCCTGTTCCCATTCACCAGCACGTGACAGTGCAGAATTTTTTTCGTGTTTTCACGCACTTCTGCAAACGACAGGAAAGGTAATAGGCACCGAGGTGAACAAGTCGTAGGTATTCTGGACATATTTTATCTTTGAGCAACACTGAATCATCATAAAACTGCATTCGAGATTTGGGTCAGTCACAGTTAGTCGTATTGCGTCAGCTGCAAATACTAGATCAGACTCGGAGAATGTAGACGGCGCAGGTACTCACATCAAGAGTCAGCGTCCGCGAGCTGTTTACGTCTTGATCACGGTATATCCCAACCAAGGAGTTTCCCCGCTCGTAGAGCGACCCTTTCAGACTGATCACAATAAATTGGAAGGCATCTGATGCCTGGCTTTGGATATAATTCGCGATCTTCGCAACATTCGTGTTGTCCAGTGCAGCATCGACTTCATCCAGGACGAAGAATGGTGCAGGTTGATAGCTACCGCCCAGTTAGTAGTGCTAAAAGACCAAGTGATCGTCATCTCGGCACCTGTGAATAGCGAACAAGAGCGCCAAAGCTGCGACAGTTTTCTCGCCGCCCGAAAGTTGCTCCATGTCGCGGAATCGTTTCATCGGTGGCATCGCGTGGTACTTGATGCCGCCTGCATAGGGTTCCTGATTGGAGAATCAGTGTGCATTTAGAATACACGAGCCATACAGCGTACCTCGCTGTCCTCCAAGCTGAGGTAAGCAACTCCGCCCATAGGTGAGGCCTTGCCCTTCGTAAGGTCTTTGTATACCTGATCAATACGGTCCGATATGTGATTATACGCCTTGTTGAACAATTCGCATCTTGACATCATTGAGATCAAAGAGCCATTCAAAAACAAAGAAATGAAGCACACCTTCGGCGCTTGATCTCAAGGAAGTCGTCTCGGGCAGTCTTAGAGTCCTTGCGAGCTTTATCGGCCTCTCTCTCCGTGTCCGCTAGTTTTGCCTCAACATCCTCGAGTCTAAGATAATGATACATTCATTAGGCAGCAAGAAAAGACGCTTGGCTATACATACCGATCAATCGCCTTCATATTCGGCGCCATTCTCTCGATTTCAGCATTCAGCTTCGTGATTTCAGCATCAAACTCGGCGATAGCATCCGCAGAGCCGTCCTTTGAAAACTTAAATTGGAGTTCTGAGAGAGCTGTCGGCACCTACCTCCCGGTCATCGTCATCCAAACCCTCGAAATCCACCTCGATTCCGAAGTCCTGGACCCTCCGAGGCTGTTGCGTCCCATCCTCGTCCTCGTCGACGTCCATGGCCACTTCCTCGCGCAAGTTCTGCCGATGGTTAGTTAAAAAACGACAC